ATCTCAAAGTCACCATCAGCTAGTGCCTCCCAGTTTGTTTACCCTGAATACCTGCTGAAGAGGTTTGGCTCCAGAGCTTTCAGCACAACTTCTCTATGCTCTGATTCTTTTAACATACAAATCTGTTCAGTATCTCAGCTGAGTAGGAGAGAGGATATTATTTTCTGCATTGAATTGCTATTAAGTTCAGGGTTTGGGTTTTAATTATACGCTAAAAATTTTGTCTTGCTTATTTTGGATTTCCGGTGTGGTTTTTTCCCCTCACAAAAGAAAACAAGTAGAAATGTTTACAAAGTTGGCGTGAGACAAGAAAACAGATATAGAACAAGGACTAAGGAACAGGGGGGAAAAAGGGTTGCATTAATAAAACCATGTGGCAGGTCAACATTTGCTGTGCCTGCACATCCCCAAAGAGCACAGAGATGACAAATACCAAATCTGCTTAGGGACCTTAAAGGTCATAGAAAAACTAGTGATTAATTCACTCATAACAGTCCACACAGCTTGTAGCAAACCAGTTCTCCCACTGCATTTTAAGACCCACTAAGCCTGATGTGTTAGGAAGGGATGATCATCACGGGGTATAAAATAATTCACAGGGGAAAGAAATAAACTATTACTTTAAGGAAAAGTGGAAACTTTCCCCTCCTCTTTCTAGAGCCGATCAATGAAATACAAAGAGATAAACAACTACAGAGCACACCATGAGATGCACAGTGCAACACATGTGACAAAGCCTATGAAGAAGCACCACACAGTGCTCCTTACATTTAAATGCAGTGGAAGAGACATCGTGTAAGCAAAAGATGGGAAGCTGCTTCCAGGCACAGATCACTGCTGATGCTATGCTGCCAAATACGAAGCCCATGACAAACAGCACAAACTGAAAGACCTGCATCACGTCTCTAGAGCCTGTACATTGTCCCTCAGAAAAGGCAAGAGGTAGATGAATCTCTAATCCTCTCAGCCTCTAAGCATTGTGGCTCCTCTCAGGAAGCTAACCCAAACACCTGCAGAACACTCCCTAGCATCCACAGTCCCATCACCCCCAACACATCCAGCCCAAGCCTCCTAAGCCCTCAGGAATGGAAGGAGCACTGTGGTTAAGCAAAGGGACACTGGACACAGCACTCTGATCTTCCTCACACTGAAGCAGAGAGAGAGATCAATGAACAAGGCCTAACAAATATTAAAGCATTAGATCAATGAGGCATGAATGTACCTACTGAAAGGGCCAACTGAGGAGTAAGGAGGACTCAGCTTTGCTAAGAAGTGAAGAAACTGTTCCATCAGCTCCTAACTGTGGGTTTAGGAACTCCTCCTGTGGCAGTTTGCACACCATGACAGGAAGGAGCAACAGCCTCGGACAGGCTGACAAAACTGAGCACACAGAGCAGCAAGAGGCAAACACAGATTCTCACAACACTATACAACAATTCCTAGCTGTTGCTCCAGTCAGATCTTACTGTTCAGTATTTTGCTGTCTGTGCATAGGTTGCAAAATGTACAGTCACTTCTCCATGCAGAAACACACAGATCCCATATCTGAGGGCTCTGTTGGACCAAAGAGGGCCAACCTGAACTGCTACTGTTTCAAGCATCCCATTCCTACAGGGTTCAGCTGTTAGCTTTAATTCAGCTCTACTTTCAGTGGGGTTTGAGTCCCTTTATGGAGCTCAAGACTCAAGGACTCAAAGAAATTATCCCTATATGACAGCAATTACAAGCAAGACCAACTGGCTGAGAGAAGCAATTTAATGTCACTTACCTATGCAGGTTTCCAAAAAAATAAATTTTAGCTTTCTACCTTATTTTGTGAAGAGATTTTTTGTGCTGACTGCAGTTTGGCTAACAGTCTTAAAAGCAGTACCTCTGTGTAAAATTAAGTCAGGGAGGAATGAACCATGTGTACATCAAATGATCTTAACATTTCAAATTCAGTTGTCTCTCACAGCTACTTTATTTCCCTTCTATATAATCCAAATAGTAAATAATGTCTCTGCAGAGTAATAAGTGCTTAGGATTTTTCAGAAAGTATATACTATACAATACTAAAATCATCTTTGGTCCCAAAAATAAGGAAATTACAAATTTACATTTGTCTTTGTTTTACAAAGTGAGTCAGATAGTACTTTTTAACTTCATGTTCTCTTTTGAATTCTACCCTGAAAGCTGTGCTAAGCTCAAGTCATGGTGTAAGTAATAAATAAAAACATTCTCAGCTGAAGAACACTTATTTCACATGTAAAGGCCCTCAAGGCCATCCCAGTACACCATACTACATGCCCAAGTACTACACTGTATTGGAAGTACAACTGCACCACTGCAGTTGTCATTGCAGCTAGAAGGTAACAAAAGCTTTTTGGGATCTCACTCCAGGAAATACCTCTGTGAGTTTATCCTTTTTCTAGGCAAGGAAAGGTGTAGGGATTAGAAAGATAGCAAATTCATAAACCTTTAGAGGCACAAGACCTCCCCCAGCTCTGACACCACGAGGACCAGCCCAGGAGAAGCACAGGACATCCTCCTGCACACACCACCTTGGTCCCTGCCACCAAACAGGACACACTCCTGACAAAAAGCCTTTGACACATATCCCCTAACTTCTGTCTCTTCATTTGAGATGGCAGTTCCACTCTGAAAACATCTTCTGCACAACAGTATTTTGTACCTGAATGGGTTGGG